CTATGGGTCTGGCTGCTAGGGTTTGTAGGAGGAGTTAGGGTTTCAAGTTGTCTTAGGGTTTCAAGATGTCTATGGATTACTACGGCTTCCTATGTGTTTCTAAAGATGTCTACGACTAAAAAAATTAAAAAAATCATAATTTCTCACTTTATGTAGAAAAGAAGGGGAAAAAAATGGATTGTTATAAAAGGAAAAAATACGGGGAAAAAAAACGTGTTTCACGTAAAAATTAAAAAAAAATGTTAGATGCAAACTTAAAAATGTTAAATAATACCATAGTTCATCGTAGTATATTTACAATTTGGTGTAATTTCGAATTTGTGGGTGGAGGGGCATTTTTGGAATGAATTTAATAAAGGATGTGAAGCAAATTCTAGTTAGACTTGTCATTTAGTTCTAATAAGGTTTGTCGCCAGGGACTTATATCTTAAGGCCCCAATAAATTAAGTAAACAGTAAAATTAAACGGGTAATTGGTACTTTGCACCCTCAAATTACATACGTTTGGCACTTTGCACCTTTAAATTAAATAAATGACAGAATACATCTTCCAATTATAATTTACTTGGCACCTTGCACTCTAATTCACTTTTTGACTTAAAAAGTGAATCCGCTATTTGTTATGTGAGATGTGAAAAAGAGTTGCATATTTTTCTTTCTTTTATTCCTCACAAACTCTTTTTCTCCATAGTTTCTTAGATGAGTATAAGATTAGTGTCGACTCCAAGAATACAACAACTATTTCAACCACCTGCCCTTACCCGCAGGGGCGGATCCACCTATGGTCTAGGGTGTGCAGTTGCACACCCTTGGGTTTGGACAAATATTACTGTTATAGATAATTTGACAACAAAGGCTGTTGGTTGAGGTGGTAAAGATATTCTAACTCCACTAATAGGTCATGGGTTCGATTCCCCACTCTCTCAAAAACTGACTTCTTTTCAAATCTTAACATTTTCACATTTTTTTCTCTTTTAAATATTCCACAATTCACCCAAAAATTTTAAATTGTAAATTTTTGGTCCACTAATTTTAACATTTTCACATTTTTTCTCTTTAAATATTTCCACAATTCACCCAAAATTTGTAAATTGTAAATTTTTAGTCCACTATTTTTATAAAGTGATATTTAAATTTTTTATTCTACAATTTCGAACCCGTAGGTTTTCTCTTCTCTTTTTAATTAAATATTTACTCTATAAGAATATAAAAACTCATTTTATTTTCATGATAGTTTAAATACAGTGTATTTTGATTATTCCATTTGTCACTTTGACAGACCGCATGTTTTATTTACTAGCTCAAAATCTTCTTCAAGATCTTTACATGTGTTTCTTGAAACTAAAACCCTCTAGGCATCTGATGCTTTGACCAGTTAATGTAACGAAAACCATGAAAAGTAAACATTTTTACAATAACCAAAATATATGCATAATTAAAAGGGAAAAAAAATGAGATGCCAAAAAAGAAAAAGAAATGAAAAAAAAAAAACACTTTCCACCAGAAAGGGGAAAAAACCTAAGAATATGGCTAGGGCTTGGGATCCCTAAGGCGGGAAACGAAATTGAGCCATTTTTAGTTTATTTTTTCTACTAAATAAATCAATATATAATATTTTCAAATGATATAGTTGGAATCTTTTTTTACGAAATTGAGGCCTTTTTATTTTTAATAATTATTTAACTAAAAAGGTATTATTTTTGTTGTTCTGGGTTCTTTCATTATGGGATTCGGATATGTGAAATGAAGGAGATGAAAGATATAAAAGCTTATGAGGAATAATGAAAGGCAAATTTACTTATCTTCAACAGGTAACATGTCACTTTTTAAGTCAAAAAGTGGGGAAAATTACAGTTTATGTCCCTAAACTTTACCACTAAAACGATTTATGTCCTCAAACTTTTTCATCCACCAAATATGTACTCAAACTTACCACTTTTTAATAATTTATGTTCTGCCGTCAACTCCGTCAATTAACTTAGACGGAAAAATCACGTGCGGTGCACGTGATATCATCTGACCGTTAAATGCTTATATGGCTGACACACTGAGATGACGTGGCCGAAAAAATGACATGGAGTGACGTGTGGTTCTCTCCCTCTATTTCAATTTTAAAATTCCAAATTTGTTATTAAAATTCCCAATTTCGCATTCCCCCTATTTCATTGAATCGAATGCATAAACCCTAACCCTCAAATTATACTCATATTCTACACTACAACATACAATTTGATTGAAATCGAAACTACCACCTCCCATATCCCCATAACGAAGTTCAAAGATATCAACTTCAAAGAAATTTACCGAAATTGAAAATTGTTGCTCCATTGTGATGTTCTAGCTCTACAAATGTTTGAAATTTGCGAAATTATGGTTGGGCAATCCTATTGTTGCGGAATTTCACCTCAATTCGGTGCTTCGAACGAGGAATTTAGGGGTTAGGGTTTCTGCATTCGGTTCAATGAAATAAGGGGATGAGAAATTGGGGATTTTAATGATAAATTGGGAATTTTAATGATAAATTTGGAATTTTAATGATAAATTTGGAATTTTAAAATTGAAATAAAGGGAGAGAACCACATGTCACTCCATGTCATTTTTTGGGCCACATCATCTCAGTGTGTCAGCCATATCAACATTTAACGGCTAGATCGATATCACGTGCACCACACATGATATTTTCGTCCAAGTTAACTGACAGAATTGACGGCAGAACATAAATTGTTAAAAAGTGGTAAGTTTGAGGACATATTTAGTGAATGAAAAATTTTGAGGACATAAATCGTTTTAGTGGTAAAGTTTATAGACATAAGCTGTAATTTTCCCTCAAAAAGTGAATTAGGGTGCAAGGTGCCAAGCAAGTTGTAAATGGAGGATGCATTCTGCCATTTTTTTAACTTAAGGGTGCAAACTGCCAAAAAGTATGTAATTTGAGGATACAAAGTGCCAATTACCCAAAATTAAACATCAACGGTAAAATGAACCTAGTTTACAATTTTTTCGTTGATGTCATGTAAAGTAAAGTTTTAGACCATAACTCTATCATATGAACTTCAATTTTAGTGATTGAAGTTGGAATAAAAAGCTAACAAAACTACCTACAACATTCGTGGTTTCATTTTTTTGAGATTTAAATTTAATCAAGGAAAAAAAATATTATATTTTTTCTCAAAAGTTGGACAACCAAATAAAAAATAGAAAAAATAATAAAAAAAAAAAAAAAAAAAAAAAATTGGCAATTACCTTCTCAACCAAATTTGGTTGTAGTGATTTAATTGGAATGAAAAGACATCAAAATATTTACAACTTTTTTTGAGTTTTGAAAATCAAAATGACAATAAAGGTCTATTTCCTCGTCAAATAGACAACAAATAAGTGTGTGACCCTGAATTTTCAAACAAACTCGGATTTTAGTGGTCCCGGCTAGGTTCAAATGACAACAAAAATATCTCGTGTTTTGAGTTTTCAGGATTGGAATGAATCAAGGTCACCGGAGGAGAAGTAGGCGCGGCGTCGTCGCTCACACCCAAATCGGTCCACTCAGTCTCTCCCCCAAAAAGATCGGTGAGGACATTGCCAAGGAGACCACCAGGGACTGGAAGGGCCTCCGCGTAGCTGTCAAGCTGACGGTGCAGAACCGTCAGGCTAAGGTAACCGTCGTCCCCTCCGCAACGGCGTTGGTCATCAAGGCACTGAAGGAACCCGAGCACAACAGGAAGAAGACGAAGAACATCAAGCACAACGATAACATAGCGCTCAGCGACGTCGTAGAGATCGCGAAGATCATGCGGCCACAGTCGATGGCGAGAGATCTTTAAAGTGTTTTGATCATAAACTTGAATTTTAGACTATTATTGTGCATGTAAAAACTAAAAAAAAAAAAATAATAATAAATAAATAAATAAAGAATCATTTTTGCGTATCTCGTGGATGTAGCTCATGGTACAAGTGTATCTAAACCACTTTAAAATGTTTCTCTTTTAATTCTGGTTTACGAACTGTCCAAACACCTAGTGGAACAATAACAAAAAACTGAAAATGTGTGCCACAAACAAATAATATTTGCATAAAAGTAAAACTTACATTAGGCATTTATCCTTTTCAAATGAACTCGGATTTTAAGAGAATCCCTCGCTTCTTTAAAACAAATGGGTACAGTAAAATTGGGTCCGTAATATTGACAAATGTGAAGATATAAAATTAATCACTATTTATCAAGTGCAAAAACTGCGAGAAAGGTTTTTACTCAAACAAGGAACCATTTCAGACATGTATAATTTAGGGGTCCGCAAAAGAATCTTGTAAGTAATAAACCTACAGCAACCAACCAGGAGCGAATCCTGCGAAACCAAGAGCTGAAAAGGTAAAGACAAGATTGCATAAGGCGTGTCGAGAAAGAATTAAATAATCGAAAGCGACTTTATGTTTCTTGATGATCATTTTGTGTCCCCATTCAGATTTTGCCCGATTGTTGCTATGGTTTCTCTCTCTATTGTATGTTCTCTATGTATGAATGCCTGCTTCTGATCGTTTCAATTTCACACCATAAATTAAAGATTGACTAGACTTCTAAAGTTGTTTGCCCCACTTTCTTCCAATTAATCAATCAAATTACATGGTATTAAAAATAATATTCATTTATTTTATTTGTAATATGACATGCGAGATATTTAATCAAACATAATTATCTATTTAAGTTTTAGCATCATACTAGTAAAATTTCTTAAATAAAAATAGTGTTAAACTATTTTATATGAAAAGATTACTGAATCAAAATAGTTGTTTTATTGAATAAAGAAATATTTATAAAACTCAAAATAAAATAAAAAATGGATTAAGAAAAAATCATGAAGATATTTACGTCCATTATTTTTATACTTATTCAATAGGGTATTTGTTGGTTTTAATGGTTTATACGACTTGCAAAGGTTATAGTTTTGGGGAGTACTTGATGGCTTTAAAAGTTTAAGGCCTCGTTTGGTTGCCAAGATAAGATTCGCCATGATAAGACTAAATAATCTAATGAAACCCAATTGTTTTATTGGACCTTGGAAGGTCCAACAAAAGTAATGCTTAAGAGGCAAGATAAGCCATGATAACATAATATTCCATGATAACATAATATTTGCAGGTCGACTATTAGGGATACCAAACATCAAACAAAATCCAACAATTTAGTTAATCATGGCTAATCTCCCCAACCAAACGAGGCCTAAGGGTATTTGATGCGTAGAGTATAATGGAAGGGTGTAAAGTGTATTTCAACGAAATAATGAAATGCTAATGGAACTCGTTCCATACCTGATCTGCTTAACAACTATTAGAACCAAGGATCGAAATGTGGTGATTGTTGACAGGAAGCACCAAAGCCATTCCATTCTGCAAGTAAGTAATAACTCGTCAAACCAACAAAAACACTTCAAGAACGAGGAAAGAATAGAAATCCTGGAAACGAGGCCTCGTTTGGTTGGCAAGATAAGATTAGCCAATATAAGATTAAATAATCTAATGAAAACCCAATTATTTTATTGGATCTCGGGATATCCAACCAAAAAACGCTCTAAAAGGTAAGGTAAGGCAAGATAAACCATGATAACATAATATTTGCGGGTCGACCCGGTAAGTTATTGGGGATACCAAACATCAAATAATGTCCAATTATTTTGTTAATAATGGCTAATCTCCCCAACCAAACGAGGTGCAAGTGTTTCTAAGACCTGACCAGATAGGCTATTTTTGGTGCAAAACCTAAATCCCACTCCATTGGATTCCATTCAATAAATAAAACAAACGGGGAAACGACAGGGCATGGTTGGAATAATTAATCCTTTCCTCTTGTCAGGATCGAGTGACAACTAAACTAATTTTATTTCAATATTCAGATTAATCTACTTTTGAATCGCTTAGATGAACAGAATGTTCATGGTATAGAAATATAGACGAAATCAAAAGACAATTCAGGCTTTTTTACCTCAACAAATACCATATCTCCTGAGAGAATCAGCGCAAAAAGTATGCTTCATTTAATTTACAACTTTTTGTTTGAGTGCGAAAGCTGCAGAAGCTGCGGAGGCCTCAGCTATTAAGGAGACAGGTTGACGAGCTTGAAGACAAGCCCCTATTTCAAAAGGACGCAACTCCGACCCGTCAAAGAGAAGATTTACTCCTGGAAGAATTACTTCTTTGCTGTCAACATCCTCTGTTTCACCTTTTCCGTTTTCTTCAATTGCCCTATTGCCCACTTCATAAATTGGAGATAGAGAGTATGATCTGCAACATATTAACATGCCATTTTAATCAAATCTCAATTTCTCAACTAATTTAACACATTAAAGATAAATTAAAAAAAAATTAAAAAAAGAAAATCTTTTTGGATCTTCTCATAAGAAAAATTAAAGAAAGTGAATCCAATTATACGCACCTTAGTATATTACCGTCGAAGCTGAGAACTTCAGTCTTACAACGCTGCCTGTTAGCAAGTTTTAATCTTTGGTTGTCACTCAAGGCTCCCGATATAGGAGAAGAAGGATCGGCGAGCGGGTTCCATCTTCCGCTTGCATACGTCATTAGTGGTCGAGATGAATTCTTTTCTGGTTGCTCTTTCTGGTAAAGAAGTCTTGCAGTTGAACCTGTTGACTGGTACTCCAAGCAAACTTCACGTAACCTGCTTCTCAAATCTTGCATTGCTTCGTGATGCTCGTTCGATAAGTCTGTCTGAAGTAATTTCGAAGAGACCACTCTTTTGCATATACTGCTGCATAATTTGGGGCTAAAAAGTGGAATACCGAATTCTGCACTCAGTATAACCCATTCGTACTTGTCACTATTATCAACTGAAAAGTTGTCCGATTCCCTCTCTTTATACAGACGTAAAAGACGGACATAACCTATCGTCCACAAATTAATTTTGTTTGAAATATCATATAACAGGGTGTTTAACTTTGAACTCTCCTCCCCACATAGTCCAAGTTCCTCTCCAATATAAGCCATTGAGCCATCACTGTTTTTCAAGGGCAGTGGAACGTCGAGAGTTACGACCTTTCCACCATCATCAAGATCGTTTCTGCTAAGAGGTTGAACGAGCACAGCAGAGTATTTAAGAAGAGAATTCAAACAATGTAACAGTATGCTTCCTTTAACTAAATTCCCTTCAAACTTTCCCCCCAAGCCCCCAATTGTACATCCATCCCATGACCATATAAGGGCTTTTTCACAACCGGCTAATGGTGCGGGAAGCAATCTTAAACATTGACCTTTCATCAAAACGACAGAGAGAGGGCCACTTGAGAGAGCAGAATACAGCACCAACTTCATCCATGGAGTCATAGATGAATGGGATGGAGGACCGAAATGAATCGGTCCCTTGGATCCAGGCAGAACAGAAGAATGAGGAAGTGGGATCATCGACATTATAATATCATAGTCACGGTGAAATAAGCGATCCAAGGTAGCTGGCGCCAGAGCTGCCAAGCTTTCACAGCGAAGTATATCTACTCGATATTTCCTCGGTTTCTTCATCTTTTTTCCTTCAAGAGAAACTGGTTTTTCATCAACAGAAGCAGGATCTAAGTTAGAATCCTTGGAATATGGATTATTAGCCTCTTGCACTATTACTTGCTCATAATCATCCGTATTTGACTCGGATTTATCCACACCAGAATTGTCACCATAACAATAATCAGCCTCTTTAGTAGGGACATCCTCGTTGCTCGTTGATATTGACCCAATGTTTTCTCTATCGTCAGCAACAACCCCACCTGAAGTGAGGCATTCTAGGATACACCTCAAGCTGAAAGCATGATTAGCAAATTCCTGCAACTCTCCTTCAAATTTGGTCCCCTCTAGTGTCATAAGATCTTTGCACAGATCTGCAATGCTTGCATCACCTAGTTTTCCAGCTTCATATAGTGTGACCGCATGAGATTTTAGACCTGTGGACGAGATTAAAATCATAAAGGTTCACTCAGCTGTAAATTAAGGCCATAATCGCGTTGATGTTATGCATGGATGCGGCAAAAGTCGCTTATAATCTATACACTAACAAAACATCTGCAGTGTAAGATGCACGTTTCTCTACCCTAAATAATGTCTCTATACCTCGTTAACAAGTAATTGCAACATGTAATATGTATGGTTCTAAAACTATCTTCTATCATGACTTCATGATCCTAATTAATTTCTCTTTCTAATCAAGCACTGCCTACATAACACAACATGAAAAATTTTGTAGGCAGCGAGAAAATCACCCATTTGATTGAGTAAGCTGTACGCTACCAATCAATTCGTACCTCTGATTAGACCTTTCAGAATTTCTAAATCAAAATTCCATTATCTAGACATTTCTGTGTCTAAAATGTCATGGGAGGTCGACACCAAAATATAAAACGAAACACGGGCAACATTTAAATGAAACAGGACAGGGTACAGACCTGGTGAAACAGATCCCATCATAAGATAAGATGTTATATTAGCATCGACAACAAAAGCTACACGAGAATAATCGGCAGCTGGACTAGAATTTTCTGTCCACAATGCATCTCCTGGTTGGAGAGCAATGCCATCTATAGATCCCATAGTAGAATGAGAACCATCTTCTTCGTCGCTGAGTAGACTTTTAGGAGAGCCAGGAGCATTCGATTCTTGAAGAATAGATGCAGGATCTATAAGCTTTACTGCCCATCCCAGTCGACAAGCAAAGGATGCAGCAGCCTGTAGCTGGGATATATCAGCTTGTAAGGTTGTAGCTAATTCCGCGACAGTTGAATTCTCACTTGACACCACAAACACAGCATAAAGCAACCTGGATTATCAAATCCATAGTATCCAAACTTGATTCTCAGATTTATTCTCCCGAGATGTAATACAAAACAAAAGGAGGGTTGAGAGGAGTCTTACTCCTCAATAGGATCTTCGTATAACTGCTCCCTGTTTGAAACAAATCCTTCAAGCCTAGAAACTGAAGAACACATAAAAGTCAGAATAACGTTTTGGTAGCTACAATGAGTCTTTAGATTATACTTGTATTAAATACTAGAGGCCTTCATTGTTTATTATTTTAATATAAGCCTTTCAAGTGGCACTGAACATTTTAATAGGTATATTTTTCAGATTATATAGGTCATCCAAACAGTTCGGAAATTGAAAAGAAATTTCCGAAATTTTTGTATCAGAATTAATGAATGATAACTATGAAGAGGATGACAATCAGTAGTAATATACTGCCATCGTATATAATCCTACCATCTGATAACCAACTGCACCGGCCAGATCTCATTTTACTGAATTGAGTGTTTAAATATAGAAACAAGACAGCTCAATGTTTTATTAAATCACTTCCATTTACCAAAAAACTATCAAATATAGAAACAAACATCTTCAAGAGTGCTGACTACTAAAACATTGGATTTCCTGGTAAGCTTTAAGAGGATCACTTAATTCCGGGTATTGGAAATGAAGATGTTACGCATGTAAATCACAAGCATTCCACAGTATGGACCAGATAGCTACACTGTTTTACTTTCACCAAAGAATATACCAAACCAATGAGATTAAAACCAAAAGATAATGTTCAATTTCAAAACTATAGGCGTTCATTCAAACGTTTAATCTCTATTTTTCTGTGTGTATGTGTGGCGGGGATCGAGGGTGGTAGGAGAAAAACCGAAGTTGAATTAAATGTTTTAAATAAAATGCTCAGAAGATTACCTTTAAAACGGTCATCAGGATATACGGGAACATCGAAGTAAACAAGCCCCCTGCGATGTAGACCCTTGATAATTTCGGGATCAAAAAGGATGAATGAATTTGCTTCCTCCTTACAGATTTTATCAATCATTGACATTTCGTCTTCTGAAAGTTTCTATGGAAAAGGTGGACGAGAGGGAAGACTTCATGTCAGTTCAGACAGAATTTCAGTTTAAATTAAACATATGCATTTGGAGAGAAGAAAATGATAAATAGAATGCTGACCTTGAATTCTTCCAAAGTAAAATTTACTAGACAAACTCCCCACCACGGCTCAATTACAAACTCTACAGGTTCTACCGGCAAGAGCTCTTTAGCTATTGATTTGTTCAGCTTCCACATAATTTTCTGCAAGGCTCCAAAAGTTAAATACAAGTTAGATGGTCAAATACAAGATATACATGTACTATATGATACGGAACACGTAGCATCTTGGATCAACCATACGCCTGAAGCCATAAAATAAGAGGATCTACAGTTAGCCTATTCAACCTAAGGTGAGATACTCGGGCTACAACCTCAAGGTTAATAATGCGTATTTAGTTTAACATTAGATACACTTTGCACCCCTAAACAATTAAATCATCAAACCCGCACTAATGGTTTGCCAAAGTAACAGATGCCAAGAAGAAACAAAGACCTTGGGCACGTAATGTATCTTGAAGTACTATTTCGGCTATACATTCACATCAAATACTCCCTTAACAATTAACATCTTCAAAGACCCCACTTGACCTCAATAACTTTAAATGAATACACAAAAATATCCTTCTGCCTATCTTTATAATGAAAATACTAAATTAACATCAATATAATTGATGTATTTTTAATGAGATCATATTTTATAAAGAATATTTTTTTACTCAATTCCTATTCCATATAAACATACAATTAAGTAATACTGTATTTTTTTTTTTAAATAATATATTTTATTGAAATGCACAAAAAAAATCCTAATAGAGCAAATAAAAAACCCCTATTGGGTTTAAAAAACGAAAAACAAAGCTAAAACCCCCTAATGGGGTAAAAAATAAAATAAAAAATCTAATCTAAGGAAAACTAAAATTACTAAGGGAGTAATTAAAACTCCAGGCCACCAGCCGATAATATGGTCATCCTCGATGAAAATCAAGTATGGTCATCATCGTCATCTCACATAAAAAACCCCTTATCTAGGTAATAATACTGTATTTTGATTTACATAAATAAATATCTTTATGATATCAATCTTTTATCTTACATAGCATATAAGAAAATATTTGGTCACAAATGTTAGTATGATAAATTCTATTTATCCAAATTTACTTTAATAATTATTTAATCAGTTAAACAAAAGAAAAAATTAAGATATGCTTTAAAAGAATAAAAGATTGAGATATAAATCTTAAGCATAAAATATCAATGTATTGATATTTTAACAAAATGTGCTGTTTAGTTTAGAGGTGTAAAGTTTATGACTTTTAAATATTCATATCATGATAATCATAAACATCATTATTTTGACTACTGAGTACTCTGGCATTTTGACAAAGGTCAGTTGTATGTAAATATTGATATAACGCATATTATTTTCATTATGGAGTAAGAAAAGAAAAGGTGCCGGCCTTATTGGTTTAAAGAAATAAACAACTCGATAATGACTCACTACTTCAGTTAAGCTTAATGGATTCAAATAACTATAAGAAGTCTATTAGTTAAAAGTGCAAACGATGAAGTAGAAATTGCTAGTTACGTGTCATCATGCTAAGCAAAATAAGACTGATTATACATCAACAAACTTAATTGCTGAACGTGTTGATATGTGGCGATCTTTTACCAAGGTATGCAAATAGTGATAAATTATTCTTAAATCATACCTTAGATCTGCATTTGTTCATGATGTCAATAAATTCATTTCTTCCTATCCCTGTCAGCCGTAAGGCATCTGCTGCACTAAAATTAGGGATGCTGTCGTAGGGTTGTTCTGCAAATATAGAACAGAAAATTGATAAATCCAATCAGGAACGCATAACTAAAGAGATGCAGTCACAAGATGGAATCATAGTCCAAATTTCATGCATAACAGCTAAAGAGATGCGCAGTCACAAGCTTATTGAATCAATAAAATTTCCTGAAGACTATTTTGTTTTTATTCAAAAGTTCCTGAAGACTTTTGATGCATAACAGCTAAAGAGATACCATTCTTCAAAATTGAAGCAAAATATGTCATAAGCATCCATTAAATACGAATACTACATAAGCATTTACAAATATATGTTTCGGGGTATATTTAATATTTCATGTTCTAAAGTATTATTTTTGCAATAATATCGTACTTAATAGATCTGCATAAATATGTATATTAACACTGGATATGTAATGTATATTAATCATGCATGCTTGTACAAATAATACAGAAGTAAAGTACGAATAATTAATTGGTGTTTACTAATATCCAAAGTTGGAAGTATTTGGCATAATATTTCCCGGATGTTCTAAAAGTAATTCACTTATTCTCTTTAAAAAAGGAAGATAGTTTATGGTTCTTCAATTAACCTCCGGGTGACTCGAACCCATGACCAAATAGGTCTTAGATGCAAGGTGCTTACCGATACGCTACCTTGAAGCAAATTGAGAGCGTAATCATTTTCCCTAATTAATATGGAATTATATATGCACAAATTGAGCACTCATTGTGCCAAGATAGCCAAGCGCTAATATCTTAAGAGAAATCAGTGTTCATCTCAAAACAGATTCACTTTCTCATGCTAACAACCCAGAAGCAAGTGAAGATATTATATCAAGGTCAATTTGGAATCTTCATACCATTTTTCATCACTTCAAATAGCATATCACAGTAATATTTGAAAGACGAAACCCTCATAACTCGGCAAACATACTCCGCAAGATGGTAAGGGAACAGCTGCAAAAGCAATGAACAAGTTAATTTCAAGACTACAATAAGCTAGACATTTGTATAATATAGACACACTCAATCAATTATCACTTTTACATGGCTAAGTATTTAAGAACCCATTTATTTTCCCTAAACTGGAAACGCATTAAAGAAGACCACGAGACAAAGGTAACAGATAGCTTCTAAGTTGATATGCTTGTTTCATTTCCTAGGTTCTAGAATGTACCACTAGAGTAATTGCTAAAATCTTGATATGGGCTACAGTTGAAAATTATATATGATGCAGCCTGCATTTATACGAAATATCTTGGCTTTCATTTTCATTTTTCATATCATTTTGTGGAGCGTTATTTCACCACCTAGGGTATATCTTAGAATATAATAGCCACAAAAGTGTGCCCCTCGATTATACGTTTGCTCGATTTATGTTCTCCACTGCTCTAAATAAAATTTTTATTATGGTGACTAAGTTATGGACGATTTCATTTAAATGACAGCTAGTTAGCAAAATACATAAATAGAGAGGATTTTCACCGCTAGATTCCTTCGTAGATAACGCATCATTTCTTCATAGTATTCACCTTCTTTACAAACTTTGCGAGCAAAACAAGTGTTCCAGAGTAGTCTTTTCTTGATGCAGTGTTCTATTACCCTGCATGATTGGATGATCCAGAAGGTCAACCAAAGGCAATTATCTACACATGTAATTTGTAAAGTGAAAAGCAATGCAACTAGTTATGATCAAATGCATGTATTCTGCAACTAGTCATAGTCAAATGCTTAATATCAGCGTTAATGTCAATGAATTCCTATTTTAGTAAGCGAAATTCTAAACTTTCTCTGTGGAAGTCTGAAATTTATCCTCGAACACTCGGAGGGCCAGAGTTATATGAACCATAAACCCACGATGAAAAATCAATGTCGGGTCGTCTATAGCTCCACAAATTCTCTCCAAAACCCAAAAGAATATAATTTCCCACTACACATATTTGTTCTTGAAACTATAAGCTAAATCAATTTTCTGTTTAAAGCGTACACATCAAATATAAAATGAAAAACACCTGGTCAAACAAGTGAGATTTATCAGAATACAAACATTGAATCGGACAACATACAAAATGCAAATGTAAGTTGACATGGAGAAAATTGTATCAATAGAGATCTAATTTTCTAACTAAAAGATATTGGAGAAACCCTCTATGTGAAAATATCAAGTCCGAAAGTGGACAGAAATCTATGCCCTAACGAGCTATCGCACTTTCACCAACCTAAAAAATATATTCTCAAATAACAAATCACCATACCAACAGAAAATGGAAAATAGAAGAAAAAGGATAAGAAAAATAAACCTTCGATGCCATTCTTCCTTTGAGTTTAAAGTGGACTGAAGGCGCTTGGGAAGGTTTTCCCACGGGCATTCTTCCCCAATTGCTTTCAGTATCAACTGTTCCTCCATTGTAGCCGGCGCACGCTGCATTCTTTATTTTCAACCTAAATCCCTATGAAATGAAATCACAGCAGCTGAAAATACAAGTTTTATTTGGAAACACTAAAATGATGAATCTATCTACCTGTCAAAATAAGCTCGATCAAGTAGTGAGTTATGTGGAAATACAACCGGATCGGGCTAGTTCTTCAAATCTGAGCATCAATGGTGAAGAAGATTTGGTACGATTAATTCAACTGAGTAAAATCTGATTCGCCGATCCAGTTTGTGAACTCGCGCGCGCTTATTGACTCAGATAATCTCTGAACGGATTTTAGACAAAGCTCAACCCTAGAAAAATTGAGTTTTCGAACAATGTCTTGTTCATTAAAACCCTAATTACCAGATAATCGATCTCTTGAGCACCGCAATCAACCTTCACCTCTGCACTCAATTTTCACCAAATCGGAGTAGCAATCATAATAAAGAGAAGGAGATATCTCAGCTAGGTATGGAAGATGGGAAAATCCGGTAGGCTGTAGACGGTGAGAGAGGCTGAAGGCGCGTGACTTCAAGCGCCGATGTTGTTGTGCAATTGTCGACGAACTGAATTTTTTTTCTAGTAGACAGACAACTTGATGTATTCTGGGCGGTGGTGATGAGTTGTACTCTGTTTTTCTTTTTTTTTCTTTTTTTTTTCTTAACTCATAAGAAAGTTGTACTTTGTGTTCATACGGTTGTGTAAACCATTTTGTATTATTACTAGTGTTTCACCCTTCCTTTTGCACGGGTATTGCTCGTAAAAATAAATATTTTTGTTTTAGGGGCAATTTGTAGGGGTGAGAACGGTTCGGTTCGGTTTTAGGCACAAACCGGAACCGGAACTAAAGTGTTCGGTTCCTACGGAACCAAAAACCAAACCGATCGGTTTCTTGCGGTTCGGTTTCTTTTCGGTTTCAGTTCTTTTTCGGTTCATAAAATTCTGGGTTCGGTTTCAATAATGGTTCGGCTTTCGGTTCAGTTTTGAGCTCATTTTGGCCCGAAAGTCATCCCAAAAATCAATTGAAATTTATTCAAGTAAATATATATATATATATATATATATATATATATATATATATATATATATATATATATATATATGTATATGTATATGTATATGTATATTTCGGTTCGGTTCATCGGTTCGGTTTACTACTTGAAAAACCGAGTACTAACCGAAATTTTTGGTTCACAAAAAATTGAAAACCGAGTATGCGGTGCATACTTCGGTTCGGTGCAATTCGGTTCGGTTCCTCGATTTTATTTTCTCACCCCTAGCAATTTGTTATAGGTTCCTCTATATTAAATTTTATAGCAATAAATTAAATTCATAAGTAGGATTTTAAAATAAATTTATTGTATATTTGGTGGCAAAATTATCCTTAATAATATATGGAAAATCACTAAACAATCAATTCACTTGTTATATAAAACATGATCCCACAAATATTTTCTCAAACTGAAATCCCAACAATTTCTCCCAAAAATAATTACGTAATCTAACATCTCAAATCCCTCTCAGAAAATCGGTGTAAACACAGAAAGAAACATGGCTACCAAATTGTAGTTCGTCTTCCATAGCAATTACCTTGAAACCTTTCGTTGTTAGAATTATTTTGATTGCTATTTGAATTCGTTTTCAGGTTCTGCTTCTCATACGTCTGTGAAATACATCAAGAAAGCCAAAAGATGTTTAAAAGCCTAAAAACCTTGGTAAGTAACATTCTTACAACCTAAAAGTTCATATGTTTCTTATTTGTTGGTTGTATTTTATTTCTATTGTAAGCAAATACTTGATTTCACTTTTAGAATTTCTCGTTTCTTGTTCGATTTCGGTTTCGGTTTGAAGTTTCTTGTTTGCAATTTGTTGTATGAAATCTTCTTTGTAGTTTCTTGTTGTTTTTGTATCCTTCATTTTGTTTATTTTCATATAGTTTGCATAGTGTGTGCATTCTCTTGCGTGTTTGCAATTTGCTACTTGTTTGAATTGAGCCATCATATACTTGTTTGCACTTTAAAATTCTTTTTTGTCATTTTTTGTTTGAAATTTATTATTTTCAGTTTCTTGACTGTACTTTGAATTTTTTGTTTTGCAATTGCATTTATTATTTCGGTAATTAATGATATAGTTATACCATACATGATTATGTTTCGATAAGTGCACTTTGAAATTCTAATCTTACACTCTTTGTTTGCATTTGCATATGATATTTGCTATTTTCAAGTACCGTTTTTGTTTGGATAATTCGCGTGTTACTTACATATGATGCTTTTTGTTTGCAGTTTATATTTTGCAAGTCTTGTACGCACTTGCATAAATTATTGATGTTTGATATTTGCAATAACATTCTTTCGTTAATTCCTTCGGTATTAATTATTTTTCTTTATTTGTTCTTCAGACAACCAAGCCAAAAAAAATGCTAAATCGCTAAATGGCCGTTCAATATGATCCAAAAGGAACAAAACAAAATCAACTCGGACTGCAGTCGAGGCCCAAGAACCACTAACCGCTACAGAAAGAAACACCACTTCACATTATCGTTCGAACCTCGTTTTGTTGTCTATGTATTGCAGTTTGCAGTTTCAATCTATGTTTGTTGATAAAAGGATTTCATGTGTTTACATTCAACTTTTAAATTCCAAGTTCAAATTGCAAATGAATATATTTGCTTTTATATTGAATTCTGTTAGGGGTGGGCATTCGAGTCGGGTTATTCGAGTTATGACCCGACCCGGCCGGATTTTACCCGACCGGATCGGGTAATTTTGAAGTCCCCATGTTTTTGCCGGGTTCGGGTACCCGGCGTCCTTTAACTGGGTCGGGTCCGGGTTTAGAATTTCTAACCGGGTACCCAATCCAAAAAAAAAACTAAACTACATAGCCCACTTTCACCCAAGCCCAACCCAATTTCTAGCTCATCTAATGTTATCATCTATATATTCTTTTTATTATTTATTATTGAGTTCCATCTAATATATTTCATTTTGAGCTTCCAATTCTCGTTTATATTGCAACAATTTCTTTAGTCGTTCAAGTTTTTATATTGGCACCTAATTTTTTAATTATTTTTATAATTAATAAATGACTTTGTAATATGTAATAGTTCGAATATCAACATTATTATTGAATATATTGGTGCCAAAAAAAAAACCCAAGCAAAAAAAAAAGAAAAAAAAGAAGAAGAAACCCGAACCCGACCCGAAATAACCGGGTACCCGGTTGCCAGGTACCCGGTTATTTTGGGACGGGTTTGGGTAATGATTTCCAAGTCAAAAACCCGAATAACCCGAATAATCCGACCCGACCCGAATGCCCACCCCTACATTCTGTAATATTATTTTTTTCTCAAATTAATGCAAATAACAAATCTATATTTTTTGTTTTAATGTCTGCATTATTTGTGGTGGGGTCTGCTATTTACTAAAATAATATAATAATAACACACAATCAACAAAGAAACAATATAAAATAAAATACGAAACATACAAAAAAAAAGATCGTGAGATTTGAAGAGAGAGGGAGGAGAGAGATGTGACAGAGAAAAGAAAGAGGAGAGAGAGGAGAGAGAGAAAGAGAGAGGAAAGATGAGATCATGAGATGGATGAGATAGAGAAGTGAAAAAGATGAGAGAGATAGAGTGATATATGGGATTTGTTCCCTTATTTTACATAAATAATTATTCCATATAAATATTAATTAAGGGTATTTAATTTTATATACTAATAATTTAAATTAATTTATATTAATTTTATTGGTTAAATGATATACACCTATATTCATCTAATGAAATGGACTTCCACCTATATAAGTTCCAAATAAGCGATGTCTAGCCAATTTTCCCTTTATTTTAAAAAGTTCTCGAAATAGTAAGATCTATGGTGGATGTGCAATACAAAGTAAAAAAATATAAATATATATTCCATGTAAGTAACAAATTAAGTCAAAATAGGTGAAAAAAGCTAAATACTGAAGGTTTAAATCCCGTATGCAAAAGGCGAATACATCATTATCATTACCGTTAGTATTACCATTATCATTCCCAATACCAGTATCAATACCAACACTATTACCATTATTGATGACCATGGGGCGGGTTGTGCATTCCCTGCTCCCGTCCGGTTAAGAAATCCGTTCAACCCGCACCCGCCCCATAGAAAACCTACGGGTACCCGCTGCGCCAAAAAACCCGTGAAAGCTGAAGAAAAAAGTAAAATATATATATATATATATTGAATAACCCTCATGAAAACAATAATTATAAATCAAAATAACAAATGTATTATAATGATATTATAATAAATAAATAAATATTAATATATATATATATATATATATATATATATATATATATATATATATATATATATATATGTATGTATATATATGTGTGTGTGTGTGTGTGTGTATAGGGAGGGGGGGGGGGGGGGGGTATATATATATATATTTATATATATAGTGTGTGAATATATATATATTTGCTGTTTTTCTCGGGATTTGGTCGCTCTTGTCTCTCCTTTTTTCACGGATATTTCACCCGCCGATATCCCCTCTTGCCATTTTTCCCACAA